CTATCATCTCAATATCTCCTCTTTTATCTACTCCCCCCCTTCCCTAGATTACATTGTATTGTGAGATATTCAAAATTCCAGTACATTATTTTCTTTTGGGAAAAAGTAATCAAATGTGGAAACGCGACTCCCACGCACAATTTCCCAAAATTCCAGCCGACATTATCCGCTTTGACGTCGCTAAAACCTGTCATTGCATACAGCAAAATTCGCCTACTTCCAATATATTCTCGATAGGAATTCATAGCTCTCTCAAAATCTCCGTTCCTCTTTCTGAGCAATATATAATCCTACTGCAGACAAAGGTAATGCACATTCATCCTGGATACTCCTTCCTACATAGAGAAAGAAACGACATTACTATGGGATAACATCCTGTTATGAATACAATTTATCTTTTCTCCGAAGAACCACCACTCCTAAGTCGAAACGCGAAATTTTTCCCATCGCCAATCAAACAAACCGCTCTTTTCCGAATGATTTTAAGAATTCCATAGTTTCCAAACAAAAAACTCCAGTCTTCTGCCCCAAATTTATGTCTTCCGAAAATCCATAAGAGATAACGTACCCTCTTCGATCCCCATTGGTGACTACGATTAACTTCCACCTACCCACAAACTCGCCTAAGTATCAGTCCATTCAGTTTATGACCTAACTTGGTCGTACCAAAGACACCTTTCCCCCCCCTTTTTTCTTATAGTCCCTGAAATTCCACACATTTCATCACCTTAATCTCCTCTCGTCACAGTCATGTCCCCTAATATATAGCTCGTCATTATCGATTATCATTCCCTGATTTTTTACCAATATCCCCATACATGACATCGTCCTCTAGTTGTTTCAGCGAGATTCACCTATACGACCAATCGGATAACAAGTCCTTTGGTTTTGGCAGATCTTGCCGAAAAATGCCTCCTTTCATAACATATTTATTCTTTTAGAGGCAATTTCTACAAACAAATATCTGGAACACCAATGGGTTTCTCCCCTTTCCCCCGTCATTGCTGACATTTTCATAGGAAGCCTTTGAGTCTTTAGCCCTAGAATCTTACCCCTTAAAACCAAAAGTCTGGTTCCGCTAACGTTGATGATACATTTATCATCTGCCCCATGGTCAACATACCCTTTCCTCTCCTTCCTAGATCATCTTAACACTCACAACATCCGAGTATAAAATTCACAATGGAAGTAGAAAATAATCGGTCCCTTCCCTTTCTCGATGTGTTAGTCACCTCCAAGCCCAATGGCCGATTGGGTCACTCTGTTTATAGAAAAAAGACTCACACGAATCGTTACCTACAGCTTCATCACACCACCATCCTGCCCAAAAGAATTCTGTGATCAACCATCTCTCATCCATCGGGCCATTTCGATTTCTGAACCCGACAACCTTAGAGAAGAACTTGGCCATCTGCAAAAAAACCCTTGTCGCCAACGGTTACTCCAAGTCCACAATTCAAAATATTACACACCGACATCTACATCCCCCTTTACACCCTAGGACGACAAATTCAGAATCTTCGGGTAATACTCCTGTGGCTTTTCTTCCGTATATTCGAAATGTCACTGATAGGAATGGCAAAATTCATCGCAAAGAAGGTATCAGGACTACTTTTCGACCACCCAAGAAAATCTCACAATATCTACCCTCTCCTAAGGACCCATTACCGCCCCTATCTTCCTGTGGTGTCTATTCTATTTCCTTGTTCATGTTGGACATGTGTATATTGGCGAAACTGGTCGTTCCGTCAAAACTCGGATTCAAGAGCATCAAAGATGCATTCGATCAGGTCTTTTCCCCTCATTCTGCATTTGCAGAACACTGCCAAGAAACCAGGTCATTCCATATTGTTCGAAAAAACCCATATTAATTTCTAAAGAGCCCCTTCTTTTATTCCAGAAAATCCGCGAATCTCTAGAGACCATAAAATTCCCCATAATATCAATCGAGAGGAAGGATACTACTTGTCTCCCCATCTGGAATCTCGCTAGAGCCGCCGTCCGTCCCGCTACCACGATGCAGCCACATGATTGGCCAGCGCGCGCTTCTTGACGTTCGCGCCACGGAGTGTGCCTATACGTGCCCGACATGACAGGCACCGCGACTATAAATAGTAGTAGCGGAAGTAATATAAGAATGCCTCTCAAAAATCTTCCTACGATAATTAACACAACCCGTTGCTCCACCAATATAGATCAAATGCAATTCTCTTGCTCTGAGCTACTTTCCTATACCGTGGAAGTGGCCACACCGTCATGTCCCTAAAAAAAGGTAAAAAACCCAACCAACCCTGAATCGTATAGACCAACTTTCTTTATCAGCAACACCTACCATGTAAAAAGTCTACAGTGGATCCTCAAGGAAGACTCGTAGAATTCCTAGACGCTCTACGTTCCATAAAGCCAAACTACCCATGTCGGATTCAGGGATCAGAGGCTCGCAGACACATGGGCTACACGTCCACACAAAATGCATTGGTTGAAGCAACAACCATTCATTTCACAATCCAATTAACGAAAGGTAAACACGTCGTAGCCTTTTCCTCGAACTTCTTCGTCGCAAAGGCTTTCGATCAGGTCTGGCATGCAGGCCTGATTGAGAATACTCCACCCCTTGACTGGACTGCCAACACCTTTCGATAAACCTAATCATAATTCCTATCTCTCCCATCGACGTTCTATCAAAATAGATAACACTTGCTCCACTCCATTCACACCACAAGCAGGAAGTGCCCCAAGCTCAAATACTTTGCTCCAATATTATACACAGTTTTACAATATCGACATCCCCCGCCCACAACACAGTAGTCGGAGTCTCTCCTCCTATTTTGCGAAGATACAGCCATCCTTACCCTTCAGGCACCTAACAGGAGGAAGGAGAGGCGACGGACAGTTATTCGAGAAATCGCAGGATTATCTTGACAGAGAGTCGCTGATAGTGTTTCGTCATCCCGTCTGTCGTGATGTGGTGCAACAAAGGGATGGATTGACACTAGAACCCATCCAAACACAAAAACTATATTATATTCCAGACCGTCGCTCTACTTGGAGCGCGGCCTTCGGCCGTTGTGACACTTTTGGATAAAGACCTTGTTCTCAGGAACTCATTTACTCTACCTGGAGTTCGTTTTAACAGAACTTCTCAAGCTGAAGGCTGAACGTCCAGGAATCCCCTTCCAGGATGAAAAAAAGGCTCAATCTCCCAGAAAGGTGTTGCCGTTAACAAGTAGTGAACGTCCCTATAACCTTTTGCACCAACCTACATAGACTTTTAACCGACCGATTAACGAATACGAAGGCAGCGTTTACCATCTCCCTGAGGAACCACGAAAACTTAATATGTCCATCACTGCCACATAACGTAGAATACTACGTTTACTGCATGAGAAAGGCACTGGCTGTATCCACAGCCCACATACACGCAATAATCCAACATCAACACGCCAAGTAAGGACAGATCCTAACCTCCGTAGGAAGTATGTCCTAAGAAACCATAGCTGCTCTGAAACAACCGAGCAAAACAAAATACTAAAGACACCTTGCAACATTAGAGGGCAAATAATCCAACAGGCATCCCGCCAAAAAATCTTCCAATCTCCGTCCGACTAAAAAACTTCGATGCACAACGCAGTACCTAACTTCCTGATGAGTAGTTTTGATATTTTAGAATCTTTCCCCCATATAAAACGGCAGATATAAGCTGCGCGACTCAAACACTCTAAAGTAAATAGCCGTTCCTACTGTATTGGCATGGTAAACCCAGAAGTTCCTTCACATTCATGCTAGCGACCCCAATTACTTACTTGTGCGTTCTTCGAAATCTTATCGATCACAAAACAAGCCACCTTCTTTTCCCCCCTTCTTCCTACAGTTTTCTTCTGCTATCATTATGGGCCCGTTTCGATCAGTGACGTCTTTAATCACGAAACCCGTACCACAACTCCTTCAAAAGAAAAATAAAAAGAGTTCCCCGTTCCTTGAAGAGGCTAAGCCTAAACAAGGATTAAAACTCAAGGTTATTTAGTATCGTACGTAATCACTCCCCGCTTCTCGACGCGTGTAGTGGTCTTGAGCTTGGTTTAGGACCGTGAGATCCTCGTCCTAGGCATTTGGTTTTCACCTCTGGCTGGCGTTGGTACGTTGAGGTACTGTGACCAAATGCCCATACTTGGGTAGTTTAGTGATTCGCCTCAGGTTTGCAGTAGAGTTAACTGAGTGACGTTGCAAACCTACACCATCTTCCCTGTTTCATTTGTTTTCTTTTTCTTTTTGTTCCTTTCTTTGTTCTCCTGAAGACAGCTACAAATACAAATTGAGGCGCGAACGTCTGAGACTGAACCCACTTTTGGCTTCACTCACAAATGACACGGTTCCAAACCCGGAAGACGAATTAAACTCATAAATTCTGGACTCATCTGGCCGTGGAAGCCTACGATTTCACATATTAACTTATTTAATTTTTTTTTTCATTTTTTATACCTTTAACTAATCACGTAATGTATGCAACCCGAGTCCTAAGTGCAGAACACATGACTGTTTGATTTAAAAGATCAACAACCTACATCTGTGCTTTATGTAGGTAGTACTAAAATCAATATATTCAGATTAGATTTTTTTTAACAGTTTTTCAGATACTTTTTTAAACTCCTTAAGTAAGTCTGAAAGCTAAAAATATTAAATTTAGAAAAAAACATTATTATACGTAGGAGCTTAATGCAAGATACTCAGAAAGCCTTTTCCACGTATTTCAAAGACAGCAATAATAAACTTTGTAGAATAAATAAAGGAACAATCGCTGCATATTTCATAATAGTCCGTGGCAATTCTTCCAACGAGCAAGATCAAGAAAATGTATCGGCTAAAACAATACCGACAAGAATAATAACAACGTACAGAACTGAAGGCGTGGTGAAAGAGTTCGAAAAAACGCGGCAAGGTTGCATATCTGTATAAAACAGGAACTTTAAGATATATCTAATAAAAGTTGTATCTCACGCATCAGTTATATTCCAGTTTCGTATTCAGGTGACAGATCCAGCATGAAGCTCGTGGTAATTGTTTATATATTTTTTATTTAGTTATATAACGGAAAGGGGTGGCGTTGGTATGTTGGTTGTTGATTAGACACAAAAAATTATTGTAATGATGCAATTTTATTAAATATATTATAATTTATTTCAGGTTTTGTTCTTTTATATTCTATTCAATATATTTTTGTTTTATTATAGTTTTTACAACACTATCTTAGTAGTATAGCACTTTATATATCGACGGTGTCACGACAGAAAGGCATAAGCGCCATTGACAGTTTTTTTCAGGAGACACAAAAAACGTTTAATATCACCTAATATTTATTTTCTTGGCATTTTATTATTATTGAACTGATGCATTTTGACTTACAATATGTTAGTTATAAAACAATTATTATAAACATGAGATATTTAACATTTTGGTGCTTACGCCTTTAATTGTTAGGTTCTGTGGTGTTTAAGCGCTCTTTGAAAGGCGGTTAGCACAATTTGGAAACAAATATTTTGATCAAAAAATGTCGCTTAGGAACTTGTACTGCCTTTTAATTTTACGAATTGTAACAAAAATGGAGAATAAATCTTTTCATTTAAAGCATAACAATTAAGTAAAAATAATACAAAATAAACAATACACAATATATTTATGAGCTTCTTAGAATTATAATGGTGTAAAAAAAATATCATACAAAAATTAAGTTAAATATAATTATCACGTTATAAATTAAGTATAACAAGAAAATAAACTGAAAGATTATTCAAAAAACAACAAAAACTATTAAAACGTACTAATTTTTTATGTGGAACCTTTATCCTTTTAGGCACATGAATACCAATGTTATAATCATTTTTTGAAGTACTTTGTAAAAGTATATATTTTAAAGGGATGCCATTATTTTCATTATTTGTATGGTGTACATTTTATAAAAATTTAAAATGCTTTTAAGCATCTGGAAATTTTTTAGTCGACCCTCGACAGTAGTGCGACGGGACAGCAGGAAGACCGTCAATAAAATCTTTAAATATTTAAATTTGTTCTGGAGTAATTTTATGTTTAGGTTCATGTTTACCCCTATTCTCACGGTTAACTTCAATTTTTCCTTTAATAGCATACCGTATCTATTTTTGACTAATATTTAGAGTATTTTTAAAGAATTGTAACCAACCCGTTTTTGTACATCACTTTTTAAAAGAAAGTATTAATAAGTTATAGTTTATTTTTATGAACGAGAGAGTAATTAGCATAATTTTAACTGGTACCTTACCAGTCCGACCACTCCATGGGCGTGCTCAAGATTAATTGAAAAATTACTTTGAATAATTGTAAAAAATAAATGAATTATTTCAGTGTTATAAAGTGTTATGTGTATGTAAACAAAAGTGACCTCTTTTATCACACACTATATTAGAACTGACTGGCCTACATTAAAAAGGGTTTTAAAAAATTCACATTTTTTTTAATTTTTAAAAATTACAAAAGAGAAAAAGAGTTTTTAAAACCGTCTAAGGTATGTTAAATAGATGAATAAAAATATTAATATAAAACTTACAGCTACTTGTTACAAATCCAAATCAGATTCAGAAGATGAACTTTCAGAACCAAGATTTATAATAACTGGCTCGATCATTTTATCAGTAATATTGTCCAGCTTCCACATTTTTTCCTCTTCTTTAATAGTGTGATTTACTGCCTTTTCCCAGTTTTCAGGTTTTACATTATTTACGGCCTCCAAAAACAACTGTTTAACATCATGAATTTTAAAAGTGGTATTTTTTCTTGAAACTTCACTCTTTATCTGTGCCCATACCAGTTCAATCGGGTTTAATTCACAATGATATGGTGGGGATCTAAGTACTGTCATTCCACGATTTTTGGCAATTTCATCAATTTCGTATTTTTTAAATTTTTCTTTATGAAGGGCACACAACGAATAAAGTTCCTTTCTTATAGATCCGGGATGGTACGTAATATTTTTTGAACTCAGCCAATTCTGCAAGTCTTTTTTTAACCACTTGGTTGTGGGCAGTCCTTCTATAAGTCTGGAGTGATAACTTGCATTATCCATTACTATTACACAGTTCTTAGGAAGAAGATCTATCATTTGTTCGAACCATTCTTGAAAGACATCAGCGTTCATGTCTTCATGGTAGTCACCGGTACGAGTTGATTCAAAAGTTAATAAACCACCTTCAACAAAACCGTCTGAACTGCCAATGTGTACTATTATCAGCCTGCGTCCCTTTCCTGATGGTGGGTTTAAACCAGTAGATAAGTTATTTACAAAAGCGTGCCTTTGACTTGTAACAGTTTCATCCTGCCAAAATTTATTTGGTGTATGACCCTCGTTGATCCATGTTTCATCAAGATAAAATATTTTTCTTTTTTGGTTTCTCATTTCCTTTATGGTTCTTAGAAAATGTCTTCTCCATATGACAATATCGCTTCTTTCTAATAAAATAGACTTTCTGGGATTCTTTTTCCAGCGGAAGCCTATTTCTTTTAAAAGTTTCCATAACGTACTTCGACTCATTTCTGGGTAATCCTTATCATCTCGAACTGAGACAAGAACTTTATCCAATGTTGGAAATTCTTGTCTAAAGAAGAATTCATGCACTTTCCGTCGAAGTCCTTCTTTAAAATGATATTCTATTTGAAATTTTGGTTTCCCTGGAGCATTACGTGGCATTTGAAAACTACCACATTTCTCTTCTTTAATAACTCTGTAAATCGTAGATTTCCCAACACCAAGTGTACTGCTAACTAACTCAACGGTCTCATCAACACTTTCACATAAACGTTTGTCTGTAAATGATTTAAAACAATTAAATATTAATGTTTTTTCATTAACTGTTAAAGGACCAATTTTTCGGCGTTTACACGGCACTTCCAAATTTTCCATAACACTAGTATACACAATAAACTGCACCTTGCAACTGAAGTACCTACTTTTAGTGAACTGTTAAGAATTTTGAATACGCCACTTGGACCTTCCTACAAAATGGAAAAACCCACTATCACATTTTCTGTGGAATAAGTTTAGAAGGTAATTATCTAGTCAATTACTGTCGTAGATTCCTGGAATTAAAGAATTAAATGTTTGATTGTTGAAACCCTTACTTCGTGGAATGCACTCATTTCAGATAAAATAAAACGTTTTATTTTATCTAAAGAATTAAACTTTATTTTGCAAATAGGTAGGTACTTATTAAACTTTTATTGGTTATATATAACCAATAAAATAAACATCTTACATTTCTTGCAAATTCATTAGTACCTGTTAACCTCCATCACTCCGACACTGGCAACCTTATTTAGGGATTAGTAACCCTCACAACTATTGTATTCTATTCTGCTCCAACCTTTATACCTGGTGGTCATACTCAATTTAAAATTGTTTTCCTATATACTTCTGTAAACTTGTTGACAAATATCTGTTTTTCATTGAGTCACCCGTATCAACAGTTTAGGGATTTGCATACATAATTTATTGTTTTATTACTCTCTCATACATAAAAAATACACTATAGATAACGACGTGAATCAGAAACTGTTCTTTTTCTCTTTACATGTATGACATAAACGCAACCATTAATGAAATTTTTTCATGTAAATTATTATGTAGGTTCTAAATTAAAAAAAAATACTATTTCTGTCCTTAGTGCTTAAGCTATTACATTGACTGACACATTTTTTTGTCTAAACATGGATTAGGAAGCAAAACTTTTTCAGCAACGCGTTCGTTTTTATAATTAAAGTAACTTTTCCCCAAGTTAAGTAACTTTCAATTCAATGACGTAATAAATTACTTTCCTTTTTTTCTCTTTTGTCCTCTACCTTCAGGTTGAGTGCTTTGAGATGAACTACCTGATATTTTACTAGAAATTGAATCAGTTGATGAGCTAGAACTAATGCTGTCAAATTCAGTCTCATTTTTAAGAAATACTGACAAGGATGATGAATCTGATTCGGAGTTTAAAGAATCCATTATTTTGTATAAAAATCATTACAACCTATCATATTATCAACTAATGAACTAAATACTATTGTCGGCATTATTATTACTATCATCAGTATCATCACTATCTGAGTAAGGTACAATGCATCATCATCTAGAATAGAACTAGGCATTTGGAGTTCTCGTTCATGGTTTTTTAGTATAGGCTCTAAAAGTACATCATGCTTTAGCGCTTCATTGAGGATCTTCTTTTCAGTGGAAAATGAACCATGGTTTCTATTATATCCGCTGGATTCCTGCACATTACTTTCCTGATTTTCCAAAATGGATTACAATGCAAGATTTATTATTTTGTACCCCCGAGAAACCATTATAAAAACCATTAAAAAAAAAAGAAGTAAGCGCCATTTAAATGTTAGTTTTTTTAAACTAATATTACTATCAAAATATACTTTAAAATTAAAAAAAAAGAAGACTATACAATAGAGTAAATATATATTTTATTTAGGTTCAAATCTTATTTAAGTCGGTTAAGTAGTAACTTTTCTATGGCAAATTTAAGTCATAGTGTCTTTTAAATGGCCAAATGGCGGTTAGATAAACGAAAATTTTTTTTCTGAAAATGCGTAACTGACCGTCGTCGGTAACATTGTAGATTCTTATGGTATAATATGGTTTCTCAAGGTAAATAATCTAACTAAACGCTTAACAAAACATTAAATATAATTAATATTTCAAATTATTGTTTACCTTATTGATATAACCACGTTTTCAGACCCAAATCGTAAGTACCATTTTCCACTACAGATCTTGTCCTTACTGATTTAAGAAACTCGTTTGGCGGTTAGAAAATTCAAAGCTTGTTTTAGTTGAATTAGATTTTTTTTACAGCAGCGTCTTTTTAATAGTAGATAGGACGTAAAATGTATTTTATTTTGATACCAAAACATAAATTTAGAAATATTGGCACTTATGCCTTTTTGTCGTGACGCCATCGATATAGGTAACAATGAACTATGATTTAAAGTATATCATAACATTATTATCATTATTAACATTTAATGTTCTAATTGAAAAAAATATCTTCATTTGTTATGTTCGAAACAAAAAAATCTGACTTTTCACGTTTCACAAGATAGCTCAAAATATTTATTTTATTACTGCACGTGTTTATGCTGTACCTAAAACACATAAACCAACTTGGTCTATGAGGCCAATAGTTTCATCTTTATGCCTCTACTAACTTCTCACTGACATCTTACTAATGCTTATAATTTAAACAACAATATGTACATTAAAAATTCATTTGGCTATAGTTCTGTTATTAATAATTTTCTAATTCCACAAAACTATGTGTTAGTTAGTTTTGATTTTCTTCTTGTAGTTTCTTCTTCTATCGGAGGTTGCCTATCATCACAGCCATCCGTACCTTATTGGCTGCTGCTCTGAAAAGATCTACTGAGCTACAACTTTACCACTCTCTTAGGTTTCTTAGCCAGTAAATTCTTCGTCTTCTTATGAATCTTCTACCCTTGATTTTTACCTTGCATTATGAGTCTTAATATCTCATATTTCGCACCTCTAGTAATGTGGCCCAAATATGCCAACTTTCTTGTTTTGATGTGCTTTATAACCTCGCAATCCTGTTGTACCTTTCTTAACACTTCTGCATTTGTAACTTGTTAGGTCCACGGTATTTTCAAAATCATTCTATAGCACCACATCTCAAATGATTCCAACTTCTTTATATCACCCACTTTTAGTGACCAGTTTTCCATTCCATACAACAAAGTCGAGAACATATAGCATCTTAAGGCTCTTATCCTCAGCTCTAGAGGAAGGTCTCTATTAACAAACATTGTTTTCATTTTTATAAATGCTTGTCTTGCAATTTCAATGCGTGTCCTTATTTCTCTACCTTGGTCATTGTTTTCATTTACCCAGGTTCCCAGATATTTGTGGTTAATCACTCTTTCTACTTGTTTTCCCTCGATATCTAGCCTTTCTACTGTATGTTGATTAGAAATAATCATGCCCTTGGTTTTCTTGACGTTCATTTGTAGTCAATATTTTATACTAACTTGATGGAATCTATTTACAAAGCGTTACACTGCTTCTAGACTGTCTGTAAAAACAGCGGTGTCTTCTGCAAATCTTATGTTGTTCAAGATTTTTCCGTTTATTGATATACTCTGTTATTTCTTAACCCTTAAAAATAGCTTTGCTGTAAAGATTGAATACCAATGGTGACTGCACGCATCCCTGTCTGACACCTCTTTTGATTTCTGTAGTTTCTGTATTGACATTTTCGATTATAACCTTTGCTTTTTGATTCCAGTATAGATTGACAGTAACCCGTATATCTTGACTATCCACATTCTTTTCTTTTAACAGTTTTACGAGTTTGTGAAGTACTCTATCAAAAGCATTTTGATAATCTATAAAGCAGAAAAAGAGATCGTGGTTCATATCTAGTCGTCTTTGCTCGAGAACGTGAAAAGCGAACAGAGCCTCTTTCCTTCCTAGTCCTCCTCTGAATCCAAACTGGGTGTTATCTATATCTACTTCTATTTTTTTGTATCATCTATCATGGGAACGGGGTACCACCGACCTGATGATGCTTTGCAAATTTTAGACAGCGAAACCGGTCTTCTAAGGTAGTAAAATTAAACTGATTGTGAGTAAGTCTAATTGTTTCTTTTTTACCTTTTTCTTTTCACTATATATCTATTTAATGTTCTTCTGAAGCAAATACTATAATAATATACATTGCTAAATAATAAAGCAGAAAAATACATAAGGTATTATTGTTTCAGCTTTGGCTCCTAGCCCTCTCCGGCTACATCATAGTTGTCCAGAGTCATCTTCAGACCATCGTAGCAAACCCAGGAGGCATTGGTGGTATATATAAAGGACCTGATTCAGAAACGATAGTTAAAGGCCCAGATGGCAGCGTAATCACTTCCCAAGAAAAAGGTGGCCTCATAGCGACTGAACAAAAATTAGAACCCATCGTAGCTGCTGAACCTGCTGTCCTCGAAGTATCTCAACCAATTGGTCCTGAATATATAGAAGATGGCCGTGTTATTCCGTTGGGGTATTCCGAAACGGCGATCGGGCCTGCTGGACCTTCGTTGGTTGAAGATGGGTACATTGGACCAATCGTACAATCCAATCCAGTTAGTCCAACTCTAGTAGCGCCTTTGGAACCATTTATTCCCGGTACAGTAGCTCCACCAATACAATCAGTGACTCCATTTTTAACCACTAGACGCCTAGACATCAAAGGAACTGTAGCACAACCTTTACCACCGTCTATACATCTTGTTGCTCCATCTCCACATTTACATAATATCGCTCCATCAGTAGTACCAGTAGCTCCAGCTGTACAACCAGTAGTTCCAGTGGCGGTACCGGCAGTCCCTGTAGGGCACAAGGTTGATATTGTTGAACAAGATCCACATATTATCGAAACAAAAATCATAGATGCTCCTGCCATTGAGTCCAAGGAATCTACTGACTTGGTAGGTCCTTCTGGAAGCATTTCTACAAGAGGATCTGAATCTGTAGTTTCTGGACCTGCCTCCACTACCATTACAAGTAATTATGTATTTATTATAACGTCTTCCTGATTACTATTAAATTAAAAGTATAACAAACTTTATACTATTTATATGTAATTCTTTATAAAGTATCATTTTAAAAGGACCTAGTACTAAATTATCATCTAGGTACAAGTTAATGCAACTGTAAAACTAAATTGGTTTAAATAAATATTTATTATACATGTTTTCTTTTTGCAGAAACCGCTAAAGTAATTGTGGCTCCTCCAGTAGTAGCAGTACCAGTGATCAGACCAGTTGTTACTCCAGTAGTACCACCTGTGCATTCTCCACCCCTTGTCGAAATTAACAACGAACTACCTTTAGCATCGAATGGTCCAGAAATTTATTCATCAGTAAGGCCTATATTGTCGTCCACAATAGCCCCACCAATAATATCGTCAACCGTTTCTCCTCTTTCCGTTTCTACGGTAGCTCCACCAGTTTTAGGACCTATTGTATCTACTTTGAGTCCACCATTACATAAATATGAAGGACCTCATATTGCAGCAGTACGACCAATCCATGTAGTACCAGGCAGTACAATTTCACAACCACAGGTACCAGTATTTGCGACAGGTTTATTAACAGGAGAAGAATTTGAGGGTGTCAGACCTTCAGACATTTCTCATATACCTGTACATTCTTCAACGGCAGTACCCCATCCTGGACAAGGCGTTTTAGCCACGGCTACTCCAGGAATCGTTGTGGAAGATGAAGGCGCTAGCGGTTTCATTCATCCTGGTGGTGCTTACCCTGGAGTACTTTCAAGTACATTAATTCCAGTAACTTCCACTATTTCGCCCCTTAGTTATGATCAGCAGCATATAAATGGACGTTTTGGTGGCAAAATTCAGCCACAAAATATTATTCCTCCTGAAATACATTCTAGTACTTTAGTACCAGTATCTTCTACCGTTACACCACCTAGTTATAATGAACAACGTCTACATGGACAGTTTAATGGGCCAATTCAGCCACAAAATAATATTTTTCCTGGAGTACCAGTATCTACCAACGTTGCACCACCTAGTTATAACCAACAACATATACATGGACATTTTGATGGACAAATTCCTACCCAAAACATTATTCCTCCTGAAATCGGGATTCACCGAAAAGTTATTAATGTTGATGGACCCAAAGCTCCAGGATTGATTAACCCTCCTTCTTTACAAGGAATAGACAACGATAATATACAACGAGTTGATGAAGAACCGACAATTTTAGAACATAATATACAAAACGGTTATTACCATAACGAATATTTAGTCGGCAACACCGAAAATGATTATAACTTAAATAGACCTTTACTAAGCAACACGAATCCTATTCAAAACAGTTACCAAGCACCTGTTGCACCTCCTGCTCAAGTCGATGTAGCCGCCTTATCGGCCAGAACTGATTCCCAGCACGATTACGAGGATCGAGCCAGTGCAAGCTTATGGAATCGATATGGAAGGAAGACAGGGAATAGAAAGTATTAATAATAAGTATTATTCTGCGATTTTAAATACTAGTCACGGTTTTTCAAAGAGGTGGTGGTTTTTTTATAACTGTTGTTTTTATTTATTGTAAATGTATTAAATAAAATTTTTTTTAACTGTTTTAAATTTATTTTAGGACATTTTCTTGTGAGTATGTCTTTGATTTTCTTATTGCCCGCAAGTTCTAGAATTTTTAGTGGCTGCTGTTTGGTCGTTAAGAAGTCTACTTCATCTAGGTTTATTTCTGCTCTACTCTTAATATTGGTTTGAAGTTATTTTATTGAGGCATCTTAAAACAATTACTAATTTTATTGGGAATAAGCCGCAATTTAAGTGAGGCTTATTCATTTTTTATTTTTGACGTTTCAATTTCCACTTCGGAAATCGTCCTCAAAATAAAAAACATTCATAAATTAAACAAATTTGGTTTTTTGTTACTTCGTGAAAAATTCTTCTTCTTCTTCCTTCTAGTATATAGGCTTTAAAGTCTGTTTCTTCTTCAATATTATCCTCCCAAATTCAATTCTACCTTGTCTACCAATTTATCGTCCAGGAAATATCTAATCTAAATATCGCCGAACATTTACACCAACTATCTGACGTTGAATTTCTTTCGACAAAAAATGACCGAATTGAATAAGTAACTACTATATCTAACCATACATTTAATTTTTGTGGTCTTTGAGTATGGTTTTCACGCATTCAGTCTTCAGTGTGAATTTACGTCACACCAGTACCTTAAATTGTGTCGATTTACACTTCCACACAGTGTAAAAGTTGCTATCGGAAAAACATATTCTGTTAACGAAATTTTAATAACTTTCAATTTTATCCATCATTACCTCAGTAAACTCTAATCTACGACCAAAGTCATCTTCACTTAATTCTTGCAATAAGTTAATTTTGTATGATTTAAATTTATTTTTACGTAATAAACGTAATACTGAAGAATGACCTACATCATGTACTTGTGCAACCCTGCCTGGGGATGTATGTAGATCTTCAACAAAACTTTGCTTATATCTGAAGTTTTGCTGTCATTGATAACTCGTTTCGGTCAACCTGATCGGTATCTATCTTTTACTTCTCCAGATTCCTTAAATCGCCTTACAGTTTTTCTCCATCACAAATGAGGCCAGCCTCTCAGAAAGATTTATCTGAAAAAGAGTTTTCTTAGTTCAAGTGCTGTCGCTTAAGTTTTTCCTTTCGAATTATACGACACAAATGTGCGAGAACCATTTTTCAAAGCACTCAAAAGTTTATAGAGAAATTAAGTACATGACAAATAAAATAATATTGTAGACGTTAAAAAAATACTACAATTTAAAACTGATATCAAGTTGGAATGGAAATCTCTATATGAAGATAGTTAAAGCAGTCTTTCTAATATAGTAGTGAAAAAAGTCATAGAAGCAACTAAAAACACATGACAATTATATAAGTTGGGTAGACAATAAAAAATCCTTGACAGGCAATCCTTGACAGACAATAATAAAACCATCATCATCATCATCATTTGGCTCTGCAACTATATGTGAGTCTTGACCGCGTTTACTATTTCCCTCCATTATTGTCGGTCCTGAGTAGCTGTTTCCCATTGCTGTATTCCGATTTTGCGTGGATCACTGGCTACTGCGTCCTTCCATTTCTTTCTTGGGCAACCAACTGACCTTCTGCCATCAGGTCTTTCCCAGAATGTTATGTTTTAATGTAGCGTACTATGGTTTCATCTCCATATACTATCTGGAGTTCATCATTGTATTTTCTTCTCCAGTCTCCTGTTGTCTCTTCTCTGCAAGGCCCATAGATGGTCCGCAGTATCTTTCTTTCCAGTACCAGTAATTTTGTCATTTCCCGCTGGTTCAGAGTCCATGTCTCGCTTCCATACCTTATTGTGGGAAGAATTATTGTCTTATACACTCTTATTTTTGCTGGTATTGAAAGTATTTTTGATTAATTCTTTGACGACTTCAAAATTGTATTCATTGGTTGTTACGTTTTGTCTAACACTTGGCTTTGGGTTCTTACTAACCATCACGTACTTGGTCTTGTCCTCGTTGACCTTCAGATCAACTTTCTTGGCTCCGTTTTCGAATAGGGTGAAAACTTCTTTCGCATCTCTATTGGATTATGCAATTGTGTCCACGTCATTCGCAAACGCCAATAGTATTTTTGATCCTTGGGCGGCAAATCCGTTTGTCAGTTGTGGTTGAGCTTTTCTTACTGCATGTTTAAGTGCAAAATTAAATAGCAGGGGTCGGGAGGATCTCCTTGTCTAAGCCCGGTGTCAATGAAGAATTCTTTCGACGTTGTAGTGCCAATTATGATCCGTGTGAGAGCGTGCTCTGTTCTCACCTGTGCTAATTGTACCAACTTTCCAGGTATTCCCATTTCTAACATGGTCTCCCACAATGCTTCTCTGCTAACAGAATCGTAAGCTTGTTTAAAGTCTACGAAGATTTGGTGTACATCGCTGTTGAATTCCCAGTTTTTTCCAACACCTGGCGTAGGACGAATATCTGGTCTATGGTCGACCTTCTCGGTCTAAATAAGCTTTGCTAGTATTAACGATATTCCTCTATAGTTCCGACATATTTGTTTGTCTCTGTTATTGCAGATAGGTACTATATGGCTTTAATGCCAGTATTTCAGCATTTCTTCTCTTATAAGATGATATATTTCAAGACGAAGCTTTTCCCCCCCTTTTTTAGTAGTTCCACCTGTATGCCGTTTAGGCCTGGAGCTTTATGGTTTTTTAGGGACAAAATTGACTTTACTTCAGCTAGTGTGAGCCCTGGTATTTCGGGTTCGACTAACTGGTACTGTCTTTGTTGCTCTATCGTTGTGGGTTTTCCTGTATTTAAGAATTGCTTAAAATACTTTCTCCATTGGCGTCTTATTTCCTCGTCGTCTGTGAGCAATTGTACTGCATCGTCTTTTAAAAATCTTGAGCTATTAGTCGTGTTGCTCTTCATTGTTTTTAGGTCCTTATAAAACTGTCTAGACTGTCCCGTTCTATGTTCCTCCTCCAGTTGCTGTATTCGCGCTTCTAGGTACTGTTTCTTTTTTCTTCTCAAAAGTCTTCTCGTTTGAGTCCTGACTCTGTTATGGTCTTCCCTGATCTCATCCGTAAGGCGTGTTAGTAACTCTAGCCTCTTGATTGATTTCTGATACAAGCTTTGTTCGCACTCCTGGTCAACCCACTGGTTTTTCTTATTGTTATTGCTTTCTTTTCCTATAGTTTCCGGTGCGGAACTTTCTATGGCGTTTGTTATATTTTGCCATTGCTGGTCTATGGTCAATTCTGGCGTTGATGTTTCTTCTTCTTCCAGTGTCTGCAATTTGTTTTGGATCAGTGCCTGATATTGGCGTTCATTATCAGGTAAATCGAACCTTGAAATGTCCCATCTGTTTCCTTGTTGGCGGTGCTTTGGCTGTCTCTTTTTTAGCCTTGTTTTCATTTTTGTTCTGACCAGGAAGTGGTCAGAGTCACTTTCTGCTCCCCTCAGACTGTGTGCGCTGATGGTATTGCTAAAATGTCTTTCATCGATATATAAATTATATAAACCATCCTTCTACCAATCCATTTTAATCTTCAAAATAACGAACATTAAGTCCAGCAATGTAACAATACAACAAAAAAATACCAAATATAAAAATAATATATCTCTGTAACATTTAGGATATTGTACAATAAAATAATTAGAGAAAACAAGTGTGGTATATGTTAGGCGAATGGATATGGATGGGATCAAACGCTAACGATTTAAATAAAAGAAGAACAACAAGGATCCTTTTCTTATTATATATTTTTTCATGTCATTTATTTTAATAAGTAATCATCTATGACTTGCTATTAAATATTAATAAATAAATTGCATTTATTCAATTGTAACGAAATGTAATTGCAGAAACGTAAAAATAATAATAAATCAAGTTCTTTTAACTGTAGCACATATTTGATAAAGATATTTTAAAAAGAAATAACTCATGTAGAAGCATGTGAAGCCAGAACAGTAGCAAAAAAGTATATCGCAACCTTGTTCATTACGTATTATACATTTTTGCAAACATAGTCAGTGGCATTCTGGGTGGAGTCTCTTCTTATTTAGAAAAAATCAGCCTGACTTCACGCTTCAATTCACCGAGGTCAACCTAACAAACATATGTTTGTCACGATAAAAAGAAATGTACCTAGTGATTCTATCTATATAGACCTTAAATGACTTTTGAACTTCTAAGTTTTAGGAAAAACGCAAGACACGTCAATTAAAATTTAAAGGAGGATACATTGTATTATATTTAAGGTTGCTGGAAAATGCACCCTCTCACACCCCGTATCATCACTTAATTTTCTTGTAAATTACTTCCCCATTTTTTTGTATATTGGGACTCCACTTTAATTGACTGTAACAAAATAGGTTGTAGCATAATTTAAACTTTTTGAATATTTAACCGTACTATTTGTCTTCTTTAAGTGTGTAACGAAGATATTTTGCCTACCACATGAGGTAGTAATACAAGGGGTAGAAAATTGTGTACTGAAACTAAGAGGGTAGAGATAAGGCAAGCAAAATAATCGCTACGTATGCGAACGGCACTCAGGATTTGTTAGGAGAGCTGGGGTCGTGGATAAGTAAATTATAAAGGGGTTGATTCCTCTTTATATGATTTCCCTATGATAAAGAGTTGAAAATGATTGAAAACACTTTTGGGTATTTTAACTTGAAAGATACAAACTAACAAAAATGGAAAAAAATCTTCGTTTTTTTAAACATATATGAGGGGATTTCAATATATTACATATACGAGGAGATTTCAATATATTTCAAAGAATCAATGTATTGCAAATGCTACAAATGTCATCTCCGCAGCGGTGGTCGGTAATCATCATAGCTATTCGGACACTCTCTCAAGTTGCGCAGTCCATGACATTCTACGCCTCCCTTTGCCTCTGTTTCCTTGGATCTTTCCCTGCATAATCAGTTGGAGCAAGGTGCATTTCTCTCCACGTGTAATATGTCCGAGATATTCTAATTTTCTTGTTTGAATTGTATTTAAAATTTCCATGTCTTTATTCATCCTTCTAGAACCTCTTTGTTTGTGACATGTTCTGTCCACGATATTTTTAGAA